GAAGGGAGCTCTCCAGTGGAACGCCGCAGGGCTCTGTCCTGGAGGCAGACCCGATATCAAGCTAGAATGGGCCCCTGCTGGGAGCAGCAGAGACAAACCCAACGACCTTCTACGTGGCTGAATAAAAGTCCCACATGTGGGATTCAAAATCCACTGTAAACATGTTAGGTCTACCTTTGTTAAGCAATACCCATGAAAAGGTTCCGAGGGCCTTGGTGGCCCCCAAGCACACCATGGGTGTTGGGTCTCCAGGCCCAGATCAAGAGACGAAGAAAGCCTTCCTGCTCGTGGAGTTCAAGTTAGAGCCAGACTAGATGACCCCTGGAAGAGGGGAGATGTTCAACCCAACGGGAGATGGGGCTGGAGCAGAGCAGTGAGTCACTGACTTCCTAAATTGGTCACAACCCAGGAGGCGAGAGAGGTCCAGAGGGGAGAGAGAGGTCAGAGCGGTTGGTGGCATCAGGACAGTCTTCCTGGCAGGATGTGGGACAAGCCACACTCGGATGGGAAAAGGCAGACCCCAGGGGCCCATCTGGTCTGAGCCCCTGTGGCCCGCAAGACCCCCAAGTCACCCGCTCCAGCCCCGGCCCTGCCTGAGCCCCACCCGAGTCCACTCAGCTCAGGGAGGGACTTGGGGACCACTACGTTCTTCCAGATATACTGTGGGCTGCATTCCTAGGCTACTTTAGAGAGGGATGGGTGGGGCCCAGAGATGTCGAGGGACTTGCCCAAGGCCACACAGCAAGTGGCAGAGCTCTGTGCAGGGACAGGGGCTGGGGTAGGGAAGGGAAGGGGCCGTTCAGGTGTTAAGGGCTTGCTGATGCCTGGGTGTCCCCTCTGCCCCCACCTGTCCTGTCCTGGGAACGCCACCAGCTTAGGGAAGCTGCAGGATCACCCTGGCCACTCACTACCCAGGACCTTCCACAGCGTAAATCAGACTCGCCCCAGAGTCCCAAGCTCTCCAGCGGCTCCTCCCTGCCCTTCTAGTGGAATGCAGACCCCTCCCCACATCCCACCTGCCCGCCTTCCCCATGCTCCAGCTCCCTCAGACACGCAGGCTCTTTCCCTTCTAATAGAAACACACAGAGGGATCGGGGTACCCCGTACCCAGTCTCCTCCAATGGTGACATCTTGCGGAACTCCAGTGCAAACATCGACCAGGATCTGGACGTGGGTCCAGTGGAGACGCAGGGCGTCCCATCAAGGCGAGGACCCTTGTGTCCCTCCCACCTCAACCTGAGCTCCATTCCTGTGACTTTGTCACTTCAAGGCTGTCATGTACACGCCGTCATACAGCGGGTAATCCTTTGGGGTCGGCATTTCCTCTCGGCATAATTCCCCGGAGACCTGCCCAGGCCATCACCACCGCCATAATTCCCCGGAGACCTGTACCAACAGCTGGCTCCTTTGCACACTGAGTCACATCCGTGGTGTGAGGGCCTCACCCTCAGGACGGCCTCACGGAGGACGTCTGGGTGTTTCCACTTCCGCGGACGAGGCCTCGTGAGGCTCCCTGTGCAGGTCTCTGTGTGAGTAGGTCTGCGATTCTCTGGGATAAGCGTCCAAGCTGCCCCGGCTGCGTCCTGTGGTAGCTGTATGTTGGGTTTTGGTTTTTGTTTTTGACGGAAGCCTCTGTTTGCCAGAGTGGCTGCACGGGTCTGTGTCCCCACCAGCCACATGTGAGCGACCCCCTCGCCCTGCTTCCTCGCCGGCACCGGCTGTGGTCGCCGTTTCTCACCTCAGCCTTTCCTACGGGCGTGGAGCGTCTCGTCCCCGGTGCTGCCGAGCGACCATCTTTCCTGTGCGTATCTGCTGTCTGCGCAAGTACGTGAGTGTCACTGCCGAGTTCCCAGAGCTGGTCACACATCCCGGTGGGAGGCCTCTGGGGGAAGGGCAGATCGACGATCATTTCTTCCCCTTTCATCTTCCTCACGGGATCCTTCGCCGGCAACGTTTTTCATTTTCAGGAATTCCAATTCGTCCAGTTCTCCTTTCATGCCTTGTGCTTCGGGTGTCAAGTCTCAGAACAATGGGCCCGGCCCCAGAGCCCAAGGATTTTCCTCCTCTGTGTTCTTCTAAACGTTTCATGATTTTATCTTTGTGGGTAAGTCTGTGAGCAATTTGGAATTCATTTTTGTAGAAGGTATGGGACTTTCATCAGTTTCTTATTTTTTGGCCTGTGGAAGCCAGAGCCTGCATTTCCCCAGATTTCCCTCCAGTAACCCAGAGTTTCTCCGCTTTTCTTTATTATTCAAATATTTCTTGGTGCCGGTCCTGGGGCCCACAGGTCGAGTGTGTAAGACCCACGCCTGCCCTCTGGGGCTCACTGTCAGGCCTCGACTGGCCACGCCCTGACCCTCCCAGAAGCTGCCTGGGGATCAGACGGGGGTGTCCATGTCAGGCCCCCCAGGGCAGCCGAGGGGAGCGAGCCACCCGGGGACTGTCTGCATGGACCCCATCCCGCCGTCCCCTTCCACACAGCGCCCCTGGCACCGCCCTGGGGGCCGCAATGGGGCAGGAACAATTGCCCGGCTTGTAGTCTCAGGCGGACACAAGCACGCTTTCACGAGCCCACAAGACTGGGTCTGTGCCGCCTGGCGCCAAAGGGAGCAGGCCCAGTGCCCAGCTGGGGAAGATGCTGCTCTGGCCACACCCCCAGTGGGCAGCAGGCAGAGGCTTCCCGCAGCCTCCAGCCAGGGTCCCCGTGCCCCAGCCGAGCAGGCAGCCGGGGCCAGACCTGCCCTCCAAGGAGGGGTGCCTGCCACGCCCCACCGCATCCCAGCCCAGGAAGACCCTGGGCTTCTGGGAGGGACCCCAAGTTCAAGCAGCACGGGGTGGGGGTGGGGTCGAGCACACACTCAAGGTTGGCAGAGCTCCGGTCCAATCCCAGCGGGGCCGCCGTGTGAGTGTCCTGTGGCTGCCGTGTAAAACGCCCCAAACTCAGCGCCTCAGAGCAGGTCGACCTGCTACCTAGCCTTCCAGCCTGCAGGCCACAGGCCGACCTGCCACTCAGCCTTCCAGCCTGCAGGCCACAGGCCGACCTGCCACTCAGCCTTCCAGCCTGCAGGCCACAGGCCGACCTGCTACTCAGCCTTCCAGCCTGCAGGCCACAAGTCCAAAGGCTCCCGTGAGCTGCTTCCTGCTGGGGTTCGGGAGGGTCCATCTCTTCCTCCAGCTCCGAGCCGGTAGCTTCTGTCCCTCCTCCCCACGCCCTCTCTCTGGCCCTGGCCCTCCCACCTCCTTCCTCTTAGGGCCCTCGTGATGACACTGCCCCCTGCCCCGGCACGGGCAGCTTAGGACTGGTGACACGAAAAGATGAATCTCACTTGTTCTACTTTCATTTTGTACACGTGGCTCCTGTCGTATCACGTTTATATTTATACCGTGCAGTGTTTTGCAGTGTGCAGATTCGCTTTGATTATTCAGATGTTTTATCAAGAAAACTGAAGGACGTGTGCGTTGACCTCCTGACTCTCCTGCGGCCTCGGCCCGCCTGCATCCTGGGCCACACGGCCCGAGCCCTCGGGAGGAGCGGGGGTCCTAACGTGGCTGCTTTCTGTTTTCGGGAAGCACGTGGGGACAGCGGGACCCCAGAGCAGGACAGCCAGCCCAGCCCGGGGGCGCCGGGGGGGCCGGGAGCGCTTCTGGGAGAGTGTGGAGCAGGGCCCAGTCCCAGCTCTTGGCATGCAGGGCCATCTCTGCCCCCCCGCAGTGGGCCACCTGCCCCCAGAGTGATGGACAGGCACTGCTCACGACAGCCCCCGCAAGGCCCGCGGAGCTGCAGCTCCCACCCCAGCTCCACGGACCACCCCTCACAGCCCACGAGACAAGGCCCAGGGCAGGTGCCCGCAGGGCTCGCACCCGTTGTGGACCCCGGAGCTGCTGCCGCCCGGCCCAGCGGCAGCGACTCTCTGTGGGTCAAGTCCCTCTCCGGGTCGGTCTTTATTCCGGAGCCCCCGTTCGGCTTTCCCAGGGAGCCTGCTCTGTCCAGCCATTGCGGGGAGCCGCGTGGTAGGCTGCCCCCCCAACTCCCATGGGCCCTTCCCTGCCTCCACGGAAAGGCCAGAGCCCGGACACTGGCCTGAAAGCTCTCTGGGCAACAGGGCAGAGAGCTACTACGCGGCCCACAAAGCGCTGGGATACACTTACACCATCGCCTGGAACTCAGATGGCGCCGGGCCTGGTCCTGACCCGCATCCTGCCCTCCCGGGACTGCCGGCACCCAGGACAGGCCGCCAGGGTGCCCAGGCCTCGGCCAGGTCCTGCTTGGCTCTGGGGTGGATGGCGGCCTCGAGGCGGCCTTCTTAGGAGAGGCCGGGAGAGGCTCAGCCCAGAGCCCCGCTGCTCCCGGAGTCCGGACACGAGGGTCGGATGGCACACGCTCCCCAGCTTCACGCCCTTCCCGAGTCACTGCTTGGAAACTCCCGAGGCCATCAGACCGTGGTCACCTGGGGTGGGCCCGGGGCCTGCTTCCTGCCACACAGAGCTCAGCCCTGCTGCCGCCCCCGGCCCCCGGGAACCGTGGCCAGCTCGTCACATCAGGACCACGAGAGAGGGCTTAAAGCCCAAGGGTCCATCACCATCGACGGGTGAACGGAGAAAGAAGATGTGGTCCATCCACACACGGGATATGATTCAGCCTTAATGAGGAAGGAAACACTGACACAGGCTAATGAAACTTGAGGACAGAACAGTGAAATGAGCCAGACGCAGAAGGACAGTGTGGTTCCACTTCTGTGAGGTCCCTGGGGAGAGGTGCCTGGGGGAGTCAGGGTCACAGAGACAGAAAGTAGGGGGTGGGGGCCAGGGCCTGGGGGAGGGGAGGGGGGTTAGTGTGTAACGGGGGCAGAGTCTCAGTTTGGGAAGACGAGAAAGTTCTGGAGATGATGGTGGGGATGGTTACACAACAGTGTGAATGTACCTGATGCCCCTGAACTGCACACTGAAACATGGTGAAGAGGGTAAGTTTTATGTTACGGCTGTTTTATCACAACAGAAACAAAACAAAAGGAATGAAATCTTCTATGAAAGATTTCAGACCAAAACATGGAGTCAGGAAGATGTACGTCATTGCACATTTAATAGCACATGCAGCATTCAGAACATCACAATAAAGAGGGCAGGGCTTACACACCACAGAAACACCCACAGGCAACGGCAGGGGTCACCCCGGACTAGGCAGCCCCCCCGGGCTGCACGGGCAGCAGCAAATCGGGGTAACTGCACTCTTTCGTTTGTCCTTCAGGTCACCAGGAGTCCCATGGGGCACGGGCCCCAGGCCCCTCCAGCTCACGTGAGAGTTGGCCTGACGACACTTCCGAGGGGGAATGGATTGACTGATGACTTAGGTGTGTGGGCCCAGGGCTGGTCTGACTCACATTCTTCCTACATGGGGAGGGGAGAGGCTCGGATAACGGGCTTTCCCACCAGGGCGAGACTCCTGGTTAACGGGAGGCTTGTCTGCTGGAGAATGACTCACAGGGGACTCTGTTCCTGACAACTTCATCCAGAAAGTGTTTTAGAAAATCCCTCCACTTCCTCCCAAGTCTCCAAGAAGCTGCTTTGCGAAGACGTGGAAGGCAGTGGGGCCTCCCCCGGCCCCGAGAGCAGCGCTCACCACACCTCGGAAAGCCCCAGGCTCACATGGTGTGCCCTTCCTCTCCTGGGCGTCTCAGCCCAATGAGGATGACCCCTGCCTCTGACGGTCAGGCAAACTGGTCAGTGCGCCCAGCTTTCCAGGAGAGGGGAGGGTCACGCCCACTCCCCTAAACATGCCGTGGGCTCCGGGGGGCCACCCCCCTCTGAGGCTGGAGCTAGCTTAAGCCGCCAGAGCCTTCCCACCCCTGGCATCTTGGGAGGACCCTCTGTGGGGGCGGGCATTTGAGGGAGGGGCTGGACCCTCTCTCTCTTCAGCCTCAGCTTCTCACTCCAAGCCCAGGAGTGCCTGTGGGAACCCCCTGGGACGTCATCGCCCCACACCCTGGCCACAGACCGGGTGGCTTCGCATCACAGGGGTCGGCCACCGGGAGCTGCCCAGCCTGCTAGGAGAGGAGAGCCTCCCAGAGCTGGCCCCTCACCCCAGAAGACGTGGGGAGGAAGGCGGGTCCCTTAAGAGGAGCCAGTGGGAGACGGGGAAGGGAGACGGGGAGGGGGCCGCCACCTCTGGAGGCGTGAGCCCGAGGGAGGGGCGGTGCCAGCTGCCAGCCTCGACCGGACGTGCGCGCGCACAGCAGCAGGAGCGCGGCTCAGACGGTGAGGGAGATGAAGCTGTTGTAGCGCTGGATGTTCCTCTTGAGGATCTCGGAGCAGGGGCCCAGCACGCGCTCGAAGCGGGGCCGGTCCAGCTTCACGCACTTGAGGGGCCCCCGGGCCACCACGGTGGCCGCCCGGGGCCGGTTCAGCAGCAGCGCGATCTCCCCTGGGGGCGAGAGAGAGCCTCAGGGCTGCGGATTTAGGGGAAAAGCGAAACCTCAGGACGCGAGGCCGCACCTGAGTGAACATCTGTGCGAGCGCGGCCCACAAAGCGCTCGGATACACTTACACCATCGCCTGGAACTCAGATGGCGCCGGGCCTGGTCCTGACCCACATCCTGCCCTCCCGGGACCGCCGGCACCCAGGACAGGCCGCCAGGGTGCCCAGGCCTCGGCCAGGTCCTCCCACGGCCCCTGCGGACCTCACCTCAGGCCCTCCTGGGGCCCCGTGCGACGGCCGCCACCCCAGGAGGGAGCGGACCCCACAACTCACCGAAGTAGTCGGAGGGCCCGAGGCGCCCCACCTCCACATACTCCTCACCGGGGGACCGGCGCTGGAGGACGGAGGCTGTGCCCTGCAAATGCCAAGGGGACACGTGAGGGTCGGCCGGCTGGGGTCGGGTGGGCAAAGGCGGGGGTGCCCAAGGCCACCCCCGAGGGGCACCGCCCGCATCCCCCTCCCACCGGCTCCACGCCCCCCCACCTAAAAGTGAGGCGTGGGGTCTGGGAGCTGCGGCCGTGCTCTGGCCCAGGGCACCTCCCGGGCACCACCATCCTCGCTGGCCTGGCTCCTGCCCCAAGCTGTCTGCCCGCGGGCGGGGCACGGGCAGAATCTGGAGGTGTCTCCGAGGGCAGCGCTGCTCCGAGCTGACCTTGGCTTAAGTTTCAAGGACGGGAGGCGCGTGGCCTTGTGGTCACGCCGCCCCGCTAAGCGATGCGGCCCCCTGGCCTCCAGGCGGGGTGTCCGCGACACTGGGGCTCAATGATTAACGCCAGCCTAGGCAGCTTGGCGAGGCCGCGTTCCACACCAGAGACTCGGCCTTCGGGGGCCGCAGCCCGGCAGCAACGAGCTGGCACCGGTGGCTTCCGCGCGCAGAGCCCCCTGGCCTGCCGTCTGGGGGCACCCTGGGGCCGGAGCCTCGTCGGAACCCGGCATCTTCCCCACACGCCCAAGGAGTAGCAGCAAGGCCTTATGAATCACCCCTTCAGCCCCACTGGCCTCACTGGCCGCTGCCGATGCCCTGGACACACAGAGGAGCCTGGGCTGTCTCGCGGTGGGCTCGGCTCACCCTGGCTCACCCAGACCCGGCCTCGCAAGCGCTAGCCTGGCTGCGCCCGGGTTAACTGGTACCCCCTCCGCCCGGGCCGCAAGAGACTCGGTCAAAAGACCCCACCAGGGCCTGCCGTGACTGGGACCTCCGGACGCCCTGGGCGGACCCACGCCGGCCCCACTCCAGCCACAGGGCCGCTCGGCCGCGTCTGGGGTGCTTATGAAGCTGGCTGACAGAGGGAGCCAGACCTGGAAGCAGCAGGCCATCTCCACCCGGCCCGGGCACTCCAGGAGTGCTCCCTGGGCCGTGTGCCCACAGACCCCGGCCGAGGGACAGGGCCTGCGGGACACGTGGTCCCGTGCTGCCTCCACGGAGAGGAGTGGGGTCCTGCTCCCAACTGCCCCTGGAGTGGAGGCAGTCAGGTCCAGGGATGACGGCACCGCGGCGCTTTTCTTGAGACAACGTTGCATTAAGCTAACTATCGTTTACATGCAGCCTTTCACTTATATAACTTACATGCCTTTCATTCCCATTTTAGACAATTTTCCATTTTACAACTGGATCATGTTCCTCTGCAGGACCCCAGGGACGGAGCTGAAGTTCCAGCTGATAGAATTACTCAGTGAAACTCCAGGCTTAAAGCATCTGATGAGATGCTTCAAGCTCCAAACAACAGAAAACCCAACTCAAGGTGTCTAAAGGCTACTAAGGGCAACTGCTCTCCCGCAGAACCAGAAGACTGAGACAGGGCTTTCAGGGCTGGCTAGTTCAGCGGCCCACAGACGTGTCTGGACCCAGGCTTGTCCGTGCCTCCTGCTCTGGTGGCCTCAGTCGAGTCCCTGTGCTGGCACCGTGGCTGCCACAGTTCCAGGGGTCACCCAACGCCTCCCCCTGCCATCAGCAGGGAAACCTTCTGGAAGCTCCCGGCAACCTCCCCTCACAGCTCACTGGCCAGAGCAGGTCACGTGCAAGCGATGCAACTGGCTGCCACTCCTCAGGCTCTGCCCTGCCCGCTTGGGACAGCGGTGAGGATTAGGGCTCAGTGGGCACAGGAGAGCAGGGATGGGCTCGGGTGGGCCACTGTTCTGTTTCTCACTTGTCCCCCGCCCCATGCAGACACCTCCCTGCCCTCTGCCTCCTCTGGAACCAACCGCATCCCCCGTGGTCACTGGAAGCATTTCTCTCCTGGTCACATGTGGACCAGCCCATCTTACGATCGACGAGATGAAATCTGTTTCCACTGGGACGCACGGAGCTTTCCCACTCGGGACCTTGACACAGAGGATGTACGCGCACCCGTTAAGACTGATGTAATAACAGACCCTCCAGGCTGGACGGCATGAAGATGAAAGGTCCTCAGGGGGAGCCCTGAATAAGCAGGACCAACAGGGAACAGGCGGCCGCTCCGCTCGGTCCTCACACGTCCCAGGGCTGCAGGAGCACATGGCCACGGGACCATGTTGTCCCCAACAGGGTGTGCACTGCACCACACTCTCTTCCTGCTGCTGACAGCCCAGTCTCCACGGGGGGAGGTCTGGCAAGGGGCAGTGGGGCCACGAGAGGAAGGGCCACGAGGGACAGAGCCACGCTCCCCAGGGGTGCCTGTGACGACCGTGGGGTCACCACTTCACAAGACAGACACTTCCTCATTCTTCACCGCAGTGGTTCGGGGGCTCTTTGCTGCAGCAGCTGAGGCTGACAGGCCGCCACCCCCGAGCCCTGACGCAACGGCAGGACGTTCCTGTCCTGGGAAGGCAGAGTCGCCAAGCCCAAGGGCGGGGAGCGAGGGAAACGGGCGGACGGACTCGATGGGGTGGGACCTCCAACCAGCAGGGCCCGGCGTTCCCACGACACGGGCCACAGGCGTGACCAGCACACGCCCGGGCCTTCCCATCCCAGCGAAATCACCTCAGCCCTGGAACAGCCGTCCTGTCCGAGCTCGTTTCCCAGACGGGCGTGAAGGCAGCATAGACATCCTCAGGGAGTTGAGAGCCGGAATTCTGGGGGCTGGAGAAACACACTTGCCAGAACTCTAGATCATATTCCCCAAATTTCTCATTGATTCTAACCCAACTCTAAAAATAAATCAGGTCACATAGGAATCAGCCAGGGAGGAGCACAAGGAAAATGTCACTGCTGGAGTCTGGAGGAGAAGGGGTTACGAAAGGCCCGTTTGCCTTTCAACGCTTTTCAGTTTTTAAATTTTTCTACAAAGTCGAAACCCACATCAACTCTTGGGTTTCGACAACGGGCACGCGTGACCTTTATGAGACAGAAAGCAGCCAAGGTCGAGGAGAACGCACTCGCTGAAGCAGGGCCTCAGGCTTCCCGCTCCCTGAAGCAGCCCCTCCAGCCCGGCATAGAGCCCCCCGACCGGGTCCAGCGCTGGCACAGCCGGGAGCCGCGGTCCCGCCTGCACGGGCCTCGCCCTCCCCAGGGACATGGCCCACCTCCGTCTCCTCCAGCCTTCGGGCCGTCACCCACTCCTCCAGCCTGTGAGCCGGACTCCGCTCGAGGGCAGGGAAGCCTACGCAGTGGAGAACGGCAGGCACGGGCACCCCAGGACCCACACCCTGGTGGGGTCAGAGCAGACAGGTCAGGGCTGTGGGCCGCTGGCCCCGCGCCACGGTGCGGCCCGGGGTGGGGCTGGGGGACGTCAGGGTCAGCGGCTCAGTAGGGACGGCACCTGGTGAGAGAGGAGCCCCCACCAGGGACCCGCAGCCGCGCCGGGCAGAGACTGGAGCTCGTGCGCATCCGGCCCAGCAGGGGAGGGGACACACGAGCGTGTCAGTGTGAAGGCCAGCCGTGCAGTGAGCAGTCACTCTCAGATCCCACTGACACCAAGTTCAAGGAGAGCAAACACTATTTTATTTGAATAAATATCTATCTTAAAAGAAACAGTATCACAGCCATAAGCAGGCACCAGCATCACCTCCCGTAAGCTAAAGGACAACTGAAAGAACACAGGAGGCAGGTATGGGAAGGCGCCCTCGACGCGGCCTGAGCCCCGCGCCCTGGGCGGCTCCCCGCGGTCCAAGCCTGGCTCCACGACGTGCTGGCCGTGGTCAGGGGAAGGCAAGGCACAGCCCGAGCCTCGGTTTCCTCATCTGCAGAAGAGATACGATGCCGGCCACCGCAGACTCAGGGAACCAGCGCGCGCAGGCCTGCAGCAGCATGGCCATGGTGGGGCCAGAATCCGCCCTCGGGCCACCCAGCTCCCGGCCAGTGGGCAGCGGTGGGTGAGGGAGTCGACACCCCCGCACGGGGATTCGTCCAGGACAGCGCATCTGTTGGACTTTCCACGGACAAATCAGGCGTGTTTATGGCAACGGTCTTTGCACGCTGCTTATCTCTCCTCCCCTGGTGCCAGGAATCCCATCCGGGGTAAAGCAGGACCTCGGAATCCAGCAAATGAGTTCCACATCTGTCTGTCTGGGAACGCCTCATGCTGTGTGCGGATACCAGGGAAACCAGAGCTGGGAACGGCTGAGGATGGGAAACACAGGCCCTCAGGGTTCCTCCAGCCTCCTGAGGGGGGCCGAGGGGAGGGAGGAAGATGGAAGATGGTGCTTTTAGACTTTTTGGGGGGGTGCATCCCCAACTTTTAAAACTGTTTCTTACATTAATTAAAAAAAAAAAATCAGGAAGGAGCCAAGTCAATGAGAAGGACTGTAGGAGGGACCCACACAAACAGTCACGGGGGCAGAGGAGGTGGTGTCACCCTTTTCTGAAGATGCCTCTGTGTCACTGGTCTTATCCCAGCAAGTGACATTTTACGGGCATAATTTTTTAAAATTCATTTTAGGAAAGGCTCTCATCCCTGAACTCAGAAGCTCTGAGCTCCAGGCCTCGGCACCTAGAGGCGGACCTTGGCAGCCTCACCGGAATCTTCACATACGGGATGCTCCTGGGGACGCACGGCCGAGGAGGCCCGAGGCACACGACAGCGTGTCAACCTGGGGGCACCGCGTGTGGGCTCAGTGCATCCGCCCACAGGGGATGTGGTCAGGTCATTGCAAAGCCCAGGAGTGCCCGCCTGGCCGGCACTGGGAGCCGTCCTCACCAGGGCAAGGGTGACTGAGGTGCACAGGCTGGGGCCTACAAAAGGGGGGTGCTCCAAGAGGATGGGTCCCCAGCCCCGGCCCCCAGATGACAAGGTGACGAGGAAGGAGATGCGTCAGGACCTGGGAGCCCCCTGGACTCCTCTGACCCTCTCGGTGGACCTCAGAGCCGCCCAAGACAGGGCCTGGGCGATCCCGGGTGTGAGAGCCCCCCCGTGGGATCAGGAGAGGTGCTGTCGTGCA